TTCCTTATAAATTAAATACTTTGTTTTTTTTTCTTTTGATTTTGCATTTTTATCTCTGGGAATGATCACTTTTAGCACCAGCTTTTGTACAGTGTTCAAAACACTGATGGAGAACGGGATGTCTCTTACTCTTTTAAAAATGTATATCAAATTTTCCTGTTTAATTTTAAGCCAATCAAAGCCAGTGGTAACACTTGAAAGCCCCATTTTAGGCCTGTTACAAGCCCCCAATTTACAGGTGCCTCAGTTAGTTCCAGTCTGATTTGAATTTAGTTCTCTGAACTACTCCTTCAAATGAAATGTTATGAGGGAGTAATGAAGCAATCAATGAACAGGCTTTTTCTGTGTAAATAATTAAACAGTTGCATCTAAAAGCAGACATTGCATTAATACAAAATTCACTTACTAGGAATAATTGTATGTAGAGGAGGGCAACAGTGCTAGAACCCTGCTGCTAAACCTGTCCCTAATGAGTCAGAAAATTGCCATTTTAGTTGTAAGAGAGGGAAGAGTCACTAGTACACAAATATTTTCATATTTTCAGTTTACTAGGTTCCAGAAGATGCTGAATGTTTTTTTTTTCTAATATGTCTGCTTTCTTTTTGCTTAGAGATGTTTCTATACACCTTACTCACTCATGCGTTCATGTGTCCTAATTGTGTAAGCCACTCTATTTTCCATTTTAATCACAAAAAATGACATTGCATTTAAAAAAATAAAACAGCAATGGGGCTCACGATTCAAGTGCTTTCTTGTTCAGTCATGCTGCTTTTTTTATTACCTTCTTTGTTATTTTATAATTTGTTTTTTGTCTGTTTAGACTTTAAAATGCCTGAGGGTTTATAATTGTTACAACCTTCATACACATTCTATTTGTACAGCACTTTATGAACAGTTCTATTGCTGGGTTTTAATAGATTGCCAACATAGACAAACACATAGGCTGTGTTCGTAAATAATGCAGTAATTATTGTATTTTTAAATTTTGACTTCTTTTTATACATCTGATTCTTTCCCACTCACCAAGACACTTCAGAAAAATGTCCTGGATTCTCCATGCATTAGCAAAAGGCTTTTTCCCATAGATCCTGTTTGAAAAGTACAACAAAACTGCAGAAGGCATCTGAAGTTTCAGGCTTCTGCTAGGAAATTATTATTGGAAGCCTATCTCCATATTAATTTTTAATCATTTTCTAACATTATCTTCCTTATGAAGATTAAAGCCAAAATTAAGTATGGTATCAGTTTCACAAAGTTTTTCTTAATCTGCCAGAGCGTTCTGGAATTCTACTGAAAAATACCATTTTCTGTGTTGTGCTGAGCAATTCAAGGGCAGTGTCCCTGGAATTTTCTCCCTGTTAAGGCATGGCCAGCAGTGCCTTTGTATGTACCCTGAAAGTCTCCAAAATAGCTGGGGGTCATAATACACCAAAAAACTTCAGAATCCCTGTTTGGCCCTTTTTAAGCCTTGAAATGGGAATAGGTAGCTGAGGGAGTCTTCTGCCAGCAAATAGCCAGCTTGAGTAGATGAATGTTAAGGAACTCTGTGATCGTTCATTTACAGAAATGAGGATAAGGTTGCAGGTAAATGTATTAAAGAAGTGTTCAGCATTTCCTGGGATAGGAGGATAGCTGCTTAGAGGGCTGTTCAGAGCCAGAACAGGACTGAGCTATTTTGCTGTAAGGCTCAGGATAGATCACCAAACAGTTGCTCCTTTCTCTAAAAAAACCTAAGGTAGCGTGAAAGCAAACTTTGAGACAACGTAAGGAGAGTTGTTGGAAGAGGCAATTTAAAAGGAAGACCAAGTAGAATTGTAGAGCAAAGGGAAAGAAAACAATAAAGATTAAGTAGTAGACTTTGGGAATGGAAGAGAACGAGATCTTAAGATTTTGCCTCATCTGTCTAAAGATTTTGCCTCATCTTGCTGAAAAATGAAGACAAGGATTAGAATTTGATGCATAAAGTCTCAACAGGCTTGATGGGTGTAAAACACCATAGTCATAAAGAGTGCCCAACAAATAAAGAACGTGAAGAATGAAACTGGAGTTTGAAATTTAAGAAATAGGCCAGAGAGAAGGGTTTGCTTATAGACAGTATGAGAGAATTATATGATAGGTATTACAGCTTACAGAGAGTGCTGAAAACAAGCAAAGTTTTATGGTAATTATTAATAAGCAAGAAATGGTAAAGGTCTCTAACTCAAGTGAAAGAAGAGGTAGGATGCTGAGTGAGCCTGTAGAAAAAAAAACTGATGGAAGAAACTGAAAGATCTGAGGGGAGGAGATAATTTGATTTAGGAGAGAGTAAATTGGAATAATCTAGTCTAAGAAAGGGATCTGCTGAGAAGCCACATGGAGAGGTAAGAATTAATAATTGGAAATAGGACATAGGCTTACAAAGAGAGAGATTTAGAAATTGTTGGAATTAAGGAAATTGAAACTCTGGGCATTAATGATCTGACTAGGAGCACATGTGTGGGTGATACAGATATTTTTCATTCTATTTTCTATAAATACTGGCACCTTATTTTAAGGTACTGTGTTTCCATTTGTACAAGGATATGGCTAAATAGCTCTATTGTAAATGGAAATGCACTCTCTAACAACATTTTAAATAATAAAAATCAATTAATTTAAAATGTTAACTATTGATAATTATTTGTAATTTAATAAAGTTAGTCCATAACATAATTAGTAAGATAAAACTACTTCAGAAAACAGCAGTAGTCTGCATATTTCTGGAAACAAAGCATAGATAGTTTATATCCCCAAAATCAGTGCAGTGCAATATCCAGAACAAAGAGGATGTTGACAGATGCTGTCAAGACAATCCCTGATCTCTGTGTCAGTCCAAAAGATTTCATAGTAAATATTAAAAGGAGAGATCACTGTTGTTCAGGCTGAGTCCTATTAAATAATACTGAATTTCTGTAAAAGCAAAACTAACTTTTCAATGCACTTGGAACTTTTAGGTTTTGTCAAAGAAACATAGAAAATAAAGAGTATCAGAGGGAGGATGTAAGGCAGAAGTTAAAAGAAATAAAAATAGAGCTCAGAAAGGATCATTGCAGGGCTTCTTTGTGAGGAAAAATAAGAGGAGAACTGAAGATGAATTCAGGGCAGTGCATATTGTCTGAACAAGTATTTCATGAAAGTAAAAAATAAAACCAAAAACCAAACCAAGCAAACAAAGCAACCAAAATGAGAAATCTGTAATTATGCAAATGCCAGTTTAGCTACAGAGATTTCTTGTTTTCAGCTTAGTTTTTTAAATAAAATATTTTTAATTAGTTTTTAAAAAATAAATAAATTTGGATTCCAACCAAAGTAATAGGATTTTTTTCAAAGCAGTTACTTCAATTCTATGCACAGGTAAAGGAAAAAATACGGAAAAATACAGAGCACCCTCAAAAATGTTATATTCAAAGTTTGGAAATGCATAATTCTCTCCTAGAAGGAATGGGTTTGCGTTCATGAGTTGGTGAGAGAATTGAGGTATTTTTATACAATCATCTGCCCTGAAAATATATGATGTAACAGCAGTTCAGGAAGAGCATTGTTGCAGTTCTTAATTTGTTAAGTGTAAGACATATGTATGCACCACCATTAGAAAGAGGGGTAAGGATTTAGTTTTAAAGGTGGTTTGTTTTTTTTAGCTTAAAAATAATTTTTTTAGCTTAAAAAACTTAAAATAATTTGAGGCATCATCTACTGAGTATTGGAAAAATAGTGGTGTGAGCAAGCCCAGTGTCGTTTTTCATTAGCAATAGACTAAATCCTCTTACTACTTCTAATAAGGAGTGTAGTATTTGACCTGGTAGTTATATGGAAAAATGTTGATTTATTTTCTCAAATTAACATTGCTACATGTTTTTTATCAGGTGAAAAGCCATTTCGTTGTGATGAATGTGGTATGAGGTTTATTCAGAAGTATCACATGGAAAGGCACAAAAGAACTCACAGTGGAGAGAAGCCTTACCAGTGTGAATATTGTTTGCAGGTAAGACGGCTGGGTGAAATCTTTCGTGACTGACAAACAAAACATCAGTAGATTCCCAAGTAGCAGAGACAGGGATTTCTCCATGGGTTGTAGTTATATATATACATGTAAATGTATAACAAATGTTTTTTCTGTTAAAGTAGGCATTCTTGGTGCTGGCTGTGCTTATTTTTATTGACTATATACTCTTGTTTGACACTTCATTAGAAATCAGTAGAGTGGATGAATTTGTCAAGTAAATTTGTTAGAATGAAAGGTTTCTTTGTGGTAATGTATTTATTTTTCCATAATAATAATAATCATCATCACCATCATCATCTTTTTCAGTATTTCTCCAGGACCGATCGTGTGCTGAAACACAAACGTATGTGCCATGAGAACCGCGAGAAGAAACCCAACAGAAGTGCCACCAAAGTTGGCTTTTTGCCATCGGAGGAAGATTCTGGTTTCTCAACGCCTATGAAAGACAGCTCCTTGCCAAAGAAGAAAAGGCAGAAAACAGAGAAAACAAAATCTGGGGATAAGGAAAGTTCAGATAAATCGGAACACAAGAAGGACAAAAATGACTATTTGCCTTTGTACTCTTCCAGTACTAAAGTAAAAGATGAATATATGGTAGCGGAGTATGCTGTTGAGATGCCACATTCTTCGGTCAGTGGGACGCACTTAGAAGAAGCAAATTCTGGAGAAATACACCCACCTAAGCTTGTTCTCAAAAAGGTTAACAAGAGGAGTCTAAAACCGCCACTCGAGCAAAGTCAAACCATTTCACCTTTATCTACATATGAAGACAGCAAGGTTTCAAAGTATGCCTTTGATCTTGTGGATAAGCAAAGTTTACTGGACTCTGAAGGTAATGCTGACATTGATCAAGTGGACACGTTACAGGAAGGGCCCAGTAAACCTGTACACAGCAGCACTAATTATGATGATGCAATGCAGTTCTTAAAGAAAAAGAGGTATCTACAAGCAGCCAGTAACAACAGTCGAGAATATGCCTTGAATGTAAGTACCATAGCATCTCAACCTTCAGTAACACAGGCAGCTGTGGCCAGTGTCATTGATGAAACTGCTACAGCCTCAATATTAGACACACAGGCACTGAATGTTGAAATTAAAGGTAACCATGACAAAAATGTCATTCCAGATGAGGTACTGCAAACTCTGTTAGATCATTATTCACACAAGGCTAATGGACAACATGAGATCTCTTTCAGTGTGGCTGACACAGAAGTGACCTCCAGTATATCAATCAACTCCTCTGAAGTATCTGAGGTCACCCAATCTGAGACGGTTGGAACAAGCTCTCAAGCTTCCTCATCAGATAAAGCTAGTATGTTACAAGAATATTCAAAGTTTTTACAACAAGCTTTGGACAGAACTAGCCAAAATGATGCCTATTTGAACAACCCGAGCCTTAATTTTGTGACTGATAACCAGACTCTTACAACCCAGCCAGCATTTCCTTCCATGGAGAAGGTCTACACATCTATACCTGTCAATAGCTTTCGATCAGGAATGAACTCTCCATTAAGAACAACTCCAGACAAGTCTCATTTTGGACTAATGGTTGGTGATTCGCAGCACCCTTTTCCCTTTTCAGGTGATGAAGCAAATCATTCTTCTTCCTCCTCTACACAGGACTTCTTGGATCAAGTAACTTCTCAGAAGAAAGCAGAGGCACAGTCTGTTCATCAAGCATATCAAATTAGCTCCTTTGAGCAGCCCTTTAGAGCTCAGTACCATGGGGCAAGAGCTGGAATATCATCTCAGTTTAGCACTGCCAATGGACAGGTGAACCTTCGGGGACCAGGGACAAGTGCTGATTTCCCAGAATTTCCCTTGGTGAATGTAAATGATAGCAGAGCTGGGATGACTTCTTCACCTGATGCCACAACGGGCCAGACTTTTGGCTAAGAAATCTTTGTAAATAATACTGGCACTTTAGAACACATTTGTCAAAAGGGGGTTGCTCTGTAAAAGATGGAGTTCTGTACAGCTTTTAAGAGCGCTATGTTAAAACAAAAGTAAGCTGATATTAGCAAGACCAATAACTGCTTCTTTCTTTTTTTTCCCTTTTTTTTTTTTTTTTTTTTTTAAATTTTTCGGTTAGCCACCAGTCATTGAACTGCCTGATGTTGGTGCCCCTATCAAAGGCAGTTTACTATTCACTTGTTTGAGTCCAGAAAATTATTCACTTGTTTGAGTCCATACCTTCTATGAAATTTAAAATAAACAAAATCCCCAGGTAAGACTTTCCCCCATGATTGTTTCCTTGCTGGTTTCCTTGTATGCTTTGGGAGGACAGTTATTGTCTGATATTATTCACATTGTCATTTCTAAGCTTGTCAGCATAGTCATTGCTCTTCAGCAGGGAATCAACATGTACTAAACACACAGAATAAATAAGTAAGTTTCAAAGGTCAAGCAAATACGGCTTTAAAAGATGACGTTTTCTAGAAGAATTATCTTCAGTCTCTCAAAAGAAGTTTTACATCATGTGCCCTTTATTTCTGCTTTGCATTACCTTGAGTTGTGTTTGGAGGGAAAAAAAAATGAATTCCGATAGACTAACTCTACTATTTAAAATTCTAATTAATTTAAAATACTTTAAACATTTTTTTAAGCAAAATACCTAACTGCTGAAGCCTTTACTTCATTCCTGAAGTAATGTGTATTTCTTTGTACAGCTGAATCTAGATGTAACTTTTTAATGACTTTTTCATACACAGATACCAAGATTTTGAAGTTTTAGTTAAAATACTCTGTAGATGACATTCCCAATTGCAAAATGCTTACACAAACTGTGTATTCCAAGATTTAAAAGCTTAATTGTACCTTACCCTCCATACTCATAATGATTAACATAGAGCACTTAGACAACTTGAGAGTTTTCGATTTCTCAAAAAATAAAACCATTTTGAGATTTTTAGGTTTGATACGGTTGCATCATTTTCATCTCACACAGCTCCAGTAATTCTTTTCGATACACTTGAGATTGGGTGTCCTTAGCTTCTGTAAAAACTCTTTTGATTCTCTGTCTGGCATTTTGACAATTCAGACCATTAAATTTTTTGAAGTATCCCTGAAAGCTGAAGAAGCAGGCATTCAGATTCCCTACCTTTTTAGTGTTTGCTTAGTGAAAGCCATTACAATTTTACCATCCCAAACTGGTGAATGATGCTAGTGAACAGGATTTCTTTTTCCAGCCTAGGAGAGTGATCAGAAGTTTTCGTTGCATTTCATAGTATAAATAAACTACAAAGTTTATCCCTGTACCACGAATATGTTTTTTTGAATAGTACTTTGTCTTGAAGTATACGGTATGGTACGATAAGTAGTTCTGTGTGCATTTTTAAGGTGGTAAGATTTGAGTAGCCTAACTATTGTGTAGTTTAAGTTAACAAGTTACAGATTTTTGAACTGTAATGTTCATTCTATTGCACCTTCCCTAAAGGGACACTGTTTGGTAGTTTAAGGCAGTTTAAGCCTCATGTAGGCTGATTAACCAGGGAAACACACACACACACACATATATAGGTAGGTATGTATATGGTGTTTTTTTAAAAATAGGATTGCATACATGCTTTTACAGTGCTGTTGCTAGCTGGTGTCTCTCAGACAAAGCCATCAGATAGGAGAAAAGACTGCATCTCAAGGGGCTCAAATATATCCTGTCTTTTAAGAAAGGACTTGAGCAGGACCTAGAACAGTTCCCACCTCTTCTGAAAGCAGGAGCAATATTTTTCTTAATTATCAGGAAAATTACCAGGAAACTGATCCCACTCTGTATCTTTTTCCCCATGATAGCACTACTACAGCACTAACTTCCTTTGGTACAGTTGAGGGAGAAAGGGTATTTATTATCCGTAGCTTGCTTCTTTTATTGGCAAGAAATACAGTTTTATGTGAACTTATTTCCTAATGCTTTTGTGTAAGGAAACAGGTTCTGTTTTGGTTTGTTGACCCCTCTGTATAATACAGTAAGGTGTTTCAGTGTGCTATGACTTACCAGTAGTTTTGCCTGAATATTTGGCCCCAAGATAAAGAGCGGGCATCAGGAGAGAAAAGTAAATTCATTTTGGATTATTGATGATACATGTAAAGAAATTTCTTTGAAAGAGTATTTTTAAACTGACTCACGCCTCTCTGTTTTTCTTCCTTTATGGTCAGTTTGGATTTTTTTACTTTCTATTCTCTGTTGCACAGAAATAACATATATGGCCCCTATTTCCCAGGAAGCCACTCCTTGTAGTGCATATTTTGAGTTCTCATTTCCATGACATCTTTGCTTGTGCTGCCTGACTAATACTGTGTTGGCATCTTTGTTCTCATGCCCTGATGCTGCAAGTAGATGGCCATTAATTGTACTATTTGTTAAATACAGCAAGGAACAAAAGGAAAAAAAAAGTAAAAGGCTAGGTTATTACTGCACTGCCCTGGCCCCATAGGGAAGTAAGAGGAATAAAGCCTCCTTCTCCCTAAAGGGGCTGACTCAGCTTTATTTGAAAAGGTTACTGCATTGATACTCTGCTGGGAGGAGGTGATTTAGGAATAAGAGGGAGTCTCTCTCTCTCCCTGCCATCTCCACACTTAGGAACTGCTCCATGGGAGCGTGAGGGAGCAAGCTGTTGTACAGAGTGAAGGAACTTGCTCTTCCTGCAGCTAAGTGGGAATCACCTGAGGAGCTGTTATCCCTTACGTCACAAGTCATTCCCTAGCCTGCTGCTGAGCCATTCCAGCTACACTCTGTGCCTTAGGACAGGCTGTGAAGTCCCCATCTAAGCCACAGGGACTATCTCATAGGGTTCTTCCACATTTACAATTAAAAGTGGTGTGAGTAGTTGATCTGCTGATGCTTGAAGCTTTCTGCACTGGAGGAGTTAGCCAAATATACTGCTATGATTTGCTGAGTGCATCCCTTTTCATTCTGGAATAAGTATGTGTGTAGTTCTGGGAGGTTTAACTCAGTAAATGCTCTTGCTTGTTTAATAATTACATTATTTAATAACATCTTTCACTGCTCACATTTTTGCTGCTTTTAATCTACAGATGCTCATTCTTCATGTTGATCTGGTCACTGTTCCTTTTATTTTTTTTAGTTTTTCATATATGTCTGGAAAAAAGCAGCTTTGGTTTTCTGCTCTGTTCTTGTACTGATGCTGTTCAGTCAGACAGCACAAGGCTGGGGTGAGCGTGTGTATTCCCCTGAGCCAACAACAGACATCCTTAGTGAAAGGTCATGTAAGCACCAAATATGTGTGTGTGTGTAAGGTGGATATTTTGGGGATATCTACTACTGAAAGAGCAGTGATAATTTTAAAAAAAGAGGAAACTGATAACATTTATTAACAAACTATATGTATACACAATACATGTGTATATATATATAAATATATACGCACTTATTAATAGGCCATATTTTGGCCCTAAATTACTTGACAGTGTCCCTTTTAGCATGAATCTTTTGATATATTTTACCATTAATGTAACAGACAATGAAGGAATCAGCTTGTAATGGTATACTAATAGGCATTTACATTTTCTTCCTTTGATTTGAGAATGAATTAATCATAAATGACAAGTTTTGGGGAGAAGGATTAACCATGTGTATTACTGTATGTTGGTTTACGAATAACAAACAATTTCAATTGGACGATAAAAGAACCATGTTTATGATCTTGTGTCTCCTAGTGTTGTCTTTAGGAAAATTGTGTTTCAAGAAGAAAATAGGACAAGGAAGTATCCGTGTGAAATAACAACTTGTATTATTTTTATATTGTCAGTTTTTTTGATGATGGGAGCTTTTCACTGTTAATTGAGAAGTACAGTAAAATCTTGCTAATTCGCTGACTTCTAAACAGAGCATCCAGTAGGTTTCTACATCCCTGATGGTCTCTTCCACCTCTCTGCAATGGTCTAAAACGTACTGTAGCGAGGTCTCATACAATAATACTGTACTACTTCACCCAAGTATACTACAGCATCTACATCAGTATACTGGGAGATAGAAGGAGTATTGAAAACTAAATTACAGTTGTCAAAATAAATGAACAAAGTACATTTTGTGATGTGACATCCTTGCTTTTGTTGCCTGCTTCTTCGCTATTTTCAAAATTGTCATTTTTAAACGGTTTCTAAGACATTGCTGCGAATTATTGGGGTTCTACTGTAACTTTTGGAGTTTATTCTAAAGTATTCATGTTCTCCTATGAAAACTTTCCACCTGGACAGATACATTATATTCCACGCTTGATCAGAATATTTTTATAGTATTTGTATCATGTGTAGTAACTATTTGAAATGAACCAGAATATTTGGATGAATTCACTCTGAATTTTGCAGCATTGGATTACTTTATGTATGTATATTTGCTAACTAAATTTTCTTGGCTTTGAGAGCTTTGATTTTTATTCTTCTTTGCTTGTTTTAATACCGTTACAAATTGCAGGGAAAAATCCTAATACTCCTGGGAATCCGTTTGGAAATGTTAACAGGCAGGAATATGCTCATGCTGTCGGTACCAGTACACATGTGAACTTTCAAATTACATGGTTGGTACTGAAGCAAATGAATAATGCCACAGTTTCATAGAGTTAAATGTTCTACTAAAATGAAGCCTTGTAACTTTGAAAGTTCATTTGACTTATGGTAATGCATGTTTATGTTAGGCATGTAATGCATTTAGCTGAAACTCACTTTGCAAAGGACAAGCACTAAGAAAGTATTACTGCTAATGAAAAGATGTGTCTAAGTTAAAATTTAAACTTTTCCTCAAGTTTAATTTGCTTTGTGTCAGGGAAATAAATTTATAGTCGCTTTTGCTCTACTCGACCTACAAAACCTTCTGTTTTCTTTTTAAAATTACATCTTTTGGTAGGAAACACAAACTGAGGCAAGCAAACATTTCTAAGAGTTGTTTCTTGCTTTCCTTAATCCAATGGATGGAAAGGTAATATTGTGTAAACAACATTATTTTATTTTTTTATGCAATACCATGCTGTAAATATGATTTATCAAATAAGGATGTACCTATGATGGAATCTTTGATTCTGCACAGCTAGAGTTTATATATAAATATAAATGTGTCTTGACAATCAAGGACTTATGTCAGTCTTCCTTTATGACGTTTCTTATTGTTATGCATTCCATTTGTTTGACTTGAGTATTTGTATTGTCTGTAAAGTATGTAATGTTTTTATAGCTTGTTTAAAACAAACAAAAAAGCCTGTAAATATGAACTGATCACAGTACTGCTCTGTTAGAAGGCATAAGATGATGTACTGTTTGTAAGCAATAATACATGACAGTGCTAACTTGACAAGTAGCATAAGGTTAAGTTCCAAAAGTATCTTTGGGAGTTAGTAGCCTTGTTTGAGTTAATGAATACTCTTAATCATTTTTTTAATAAATAAATTCAAATGTCCTCCTGCTGGAATATATAACATTGTTTACACAGCACAATTTCAGTCACAGAGAGGACAGTCTTTAGATCTATGGCTTCATCCATACACACTTTGAGTAAGAAATGAATGGCTTGGCTGCACTTCTGCGAGATGAGGAAGACTGCAAAAGTTGAATAGCTGTGTCTCTAAAGGATGAGAGATACTATTCTGCTTCTGTGCTGATTCCTGACAGTTCCTCTACTTGATTTGGAGTCTTTAAGTCCTGATATTGAACTGGTGAGACTTGGGCCTCACATAGAAAGGAGTAGTTCTCTTCTTATTTCATATGCAGATAAACAGTGAACTTAGGAGTCACCTCTTCATTTGAGTGGCATATTTTTCAAATTATGAGCTATGAGATGATGAGATGGGTTTATTCTGATAAATAAACTAAATGTCAAACTTATAGTTTGAATTGAATAGGTATTAGACTGTACAGAGCAGCATTACTATTTGAACAGTCATCACTGCTTTAGAACCTCCCC